GTCAATCTTCGCAAGGTACTCGCAAAGGCCAACAACCGCTACTCCGACGTCGCTCAATGAAGCTCATCCTGCACTGTGCAAATACTCACGCAAATGAGCCATCAAGGCATTGCAATGCGGTTTGAGCAAGGAACGGAACGGAGGAAGAGGCATCCATTGGAAGTCTTCGGTAGTCAACGGGTCAAGGTCCTCATGTATCGACCATGACGACGAATCCTGGATTCTAGTCAGCGGCAAAGATGTCGAGTCAGTTGCCGACGGTGGTGAAACTACACATGAGCTTGAGAGTTGCACGTGGAGGGGTTGATCCAACGGGGGAACCAGTGGGATAGCATAGTAGTGAGAACTTGCGACATCTGCATGCTCCCCGGACGTGTAGGTGGCTGCTAGCAAGGCAGCTGGGTCCGGCGGAATGGGAAGTGGAGTCGCCTCACTTCCCATGGAACTCTGTTTCCCTAGCTAGTTTGGGGTCAAACATCCTCTTTGCCCTTGTCAGGGCATTGTTGGGGGGGGGGGGGGGGTTTGGTGCTATTGCACCAAAAGCAACATCCCCACCTGTCTCTTATACACATCTAGATGTGTATAAGAGACAGCTTGTGTGCTTGGTGCTATTGCACCAAAAGCAACATCCCCACTTTTGCCGGAGCTTGTATTGCTCCTTGGTGAGGTTGAACTTGACCCACGGCTGATTCGGCTGTCCATCTCTCGACCTCGACGCAAATTTTTCCTTCTTCTTGTTAGATATGGGGCGTTGCGGCAGACCTTGGTGTGATCAATTGATTGGACAGCAGCCACGGGCTGTGTCTGTTATAATATGTACGTTGGCGCTACCGTCCATGGGTCTTGTATTTAAAAAAAAAAAAAAAAGCAGAAACGAAAAGAGGAAATTCCATGGGTTTGGGACCCCTCCTTTCCTGCTACAAGAACTGGTCGGTAGTCTCGTCGGTTCATTCTCCGAATTGATGGGGGGCACGCTGATTTGTATAGATGATGGAGCGAGCCCAATTGTTCTCCATGTCTCCAGGGCAAGGAGTCGACCGAATGGTGGAAGAACTTTGGCCGTAGGTGCTTGAAACTGCATATTCAAGCCTGGGATGGCAACAATCTTTGCCATTCGGTCAACCGCTCTTGTGAGGGCTGATTCCTTGAAACATCTGGAAGATTTGGTTCACACCACGTACCTTGGCGTTGGTGACAATGAACCTCAACTTGCACTTGGTGGCAATTGTGTCCCAAGGGATCTTGGTGTGCAGATTCTCCATGGTGACCCCCTCATGCGTTGCCACGTGGTTAAGCCAAATCTGGCAAGCGCCGGTGGTGTTGAGGTAGAGGACCACAACTTGAGACACTTGGGGATTTGTGAAGTCCCAGCTTCGTGGTGAAGCCTTGCCACCAAGCGAGCGGATCGGTCTTGTGGTAGTCGTCACATTTTTCAATCTTGAACGTCAGCATCTTGAACTGGTGAGGAGTGCTGCTGCTTGCTGGTTGCTGCCCCGGCTAATGAACATCGACCTTCAGCGCCATGAGCTGTTGAAATCGAGCCCGGAATCCAATAAAGAATAGCCATATTCATGATGGGCAACCAACCACCCAAAAATAAAAGAGTACATAAACTACTCATTAATATCATATTAGCATACTCCCCTTAAAAAAAAAATGAGCAAAACCCAGGGAAGAATATTCTACGTTATAGCCTGCAACTAACTCAGCTTCGCTTCTGGTAAATGAAAAGGAGCACGATTCATTTCCGCTAAACAAGAAATAAAAAAACAGAATCAATAAAGGAAAAAGGGGAATCCAAACCATATCTATTATTGCGGGGCCCGCGAATGTACCGATGTCGCTGATGGTGGCAACCACATGGTCAATCCAGTATTTCAAATGTCGTACGGACGGCTGGCTGCTACTAGGTCCACTGCCAGGGGTGGCTGTGTCCTTGGTGTCCAAGTCCATGATGTGTGCATGGAGGGTTCGGTTGATGCCATTCTGATGGTCCCGTGCTTTCATGATTGTGTGTGACGGTTGCTGCAACTCTTGCTGCTGCCAGTTGCAGGTCAGAATGAGCTGCACCATCATCTTGGAGATGGCTTCCTTGGGTTGTTCTTCGGCGGTCGGGTTGGGATGGCTCTCCTTGTGTCAGCGTAGGCCGTCTCGTGTTGTTGCTGTGCTGCAAATGCTTCCGGAGGCAGTTCAGGGCTGGCACAGCCTCGGCCTGCTGTTGCCGCTGTTCTTCTGCGGTTTGTGCGGCTGCTCGAAGACGAGCGGCCTCCGCTGACGTGGCACTGGTACTGCGGTTTGTGCTGCCGCTCGAACTGCCTGATATGGTTGTTTATGGCTGCTCGTGCCTGTCAGAAGTCTGACGGCGCCACTGATGTACTGCAGAGGCAGGTGCAGGTATGGCAGATCCCTGACGTGCAACGATTCTTGCGCTGCATGTGAGCATAGTCGGGCTGCAGACCCAGTGTTGACGTGGCACAATCTGCTGACGTGGCACTGGTACTGCTGATGCATCGCTGATGTGGCACTGCTGCTGACGTGTCTCTGATGTGGCACGGATGATGTGGCACTTCTGTTGACGTGCCCCTGACGTCGCTCTGCTGTCGACGTGGCACGGATGACGTGGCACTTACCAGGCCAGATGTTGCAGAAGAAGGAAAACACAGGAGAGGAGGGCAGGAGGCAGGCAGGGAAGCATAAGCAAAGACCGACTGCAATTCCCCTTCCGATAAACTGCAGGCAGGTACCTAATCAACTTGGAAAAAATCCCCTCCCTTAAATTCTGAGAGAAGAAAAATAACGAAAGTTTTCTTGATTTTGAAAAAGAAGATGGAGGGTTTGATTGGCACTTGATCCTGACTGGTGACAGTCTGCAGGAAGCAAAAGGGACTGACCTCACACTTTACATGCATGCAAACATCAGCACAGCAAACTGGCGACATGCGCCCACACAGGACTCAGAGATATGGCAACCCAGATAAGAGTTCACTTCCACTGCCTATGGCGACGTAGCGCCCAAACAACTCTCTGTTCGCATACACCGGATCACCCTGGATATCCCACACGCGACTCTGAACACTCTCACACACACACACACTGAACCTCAACTACAGCTATGGCGGTAGTGGCCGCATCTACCCTATCACTATGCTACGCTCCTTCTCTCTCGCCCACTTCAGCTCCGGGCTCACTGCAGACCTCCTTGCACAAGTCGCTGTGGCAGCGCTTCCGCATGGCTCACGCAGGAATGAATGAATGGCTGGGCGCTGCCTCTTGATTTATACTTCTGAAACTCGTTGGTCTGCCCTTTCCCATCGGCCCATGGTGCTCACAGTCCCTTGTGGTACTTGCTGGACCAGACTGGGACTGACTGGACCTTACCACTGACTGAATGGGGACTCACTGCTAACCTACCGAGATCGTACTGCAATTGCACTGCAGTTAGTCCACCACTTGACTCACTACTTGCCCACTTGCCCACTTGCTGACCTTCTAGAAGGGCTACTGCTAAGACTTCTGGAACTCCCTAAGACTTCTATTCTACAGATCTACAGATCGAACCCCTGCTACCTACGGACCTGTGACATCCTACCAACTGTTTACGAATACACAGGTCACAGGTTCAACTCTCGGGGCCTACACAGGTAGGGGAAGGTCTAGGGATCGAGCCCTGGTGTAACGAGTGTGAGGCTGAGGGTGAGCCGAGGGAGAGGAGAGAGAGGGAGAGAGTGAGAGCACACACACACACTCACTCACTTGACACGACGGACTCGGACTGAGGATCGGACGCAGACACAGTGGCAAGTCACAAAGTCGAAGTCTTGGATTCCGAATGCCGAAACAGCAAGTCACACTGAGTACGAGTACAGCAGCCGAGAACTGGTACGAGACTGGTCCCCGTACCGTACGGGGAGCCGGTATAAGTATCGGTGACACGTACGGTACCAGGGGCATTTCTGCAAAGGTCCTGAGGGCAGAACTGAAAAATGCAGTATTTGAAAGTGGCGCCCGAATTGCAGCATGGCGCCAGTTGTCCAAAATCCTACGGTACCAAAGGAGGGGTTTGGAAAAAGGGTGCCAGGCYGAAAACGGGATGCAGTCGAAACAACAAAAGATAGACCAGGGATCGAGCCCTGGCGAAGTCCGTAACACCTGGGATCTGCATCTGCTACTGCAAAGAGGTGAAAACCGTTTCACTCCCGCCGTCCTAAATTCGAGATCCTCCGAGAATATTTCAATCCAAGACTGGACCTTTACCTTTCTTATCTCGTTCGTAAGCCCTCACTATGTCAGGGGCTGTCTCCAACAGTTCTGTTCTTGTGAACCAGCGGTCGTCTTCCGGCTCCTGGTAGGCAAACCGAACCTTATACTGTTTCTGGGGACGACCTCTACCTCCTGTCCTAAACACATCTTCATCTACAATGCCGTCAATGTCATATGTGCCATCCATATCCGGAGGGATCATGGATCTTCTTGAAGGAAACAGCCTACTTGTGACACACGGCAACAACTTTGAAGCATGGAACACTGGGTAGGTATGGAGGTGCGCGGGAATCTCTATAGTGTAGGACGGTCCGTCCTCTCCGCCCTTGACTTCTAGAACCGGCCACGGTCCTCCATATGCAGGCAGTAACTTCTGTGAGATGTTCTCCTCAGGTGCAAACTCTTTAGACTTGACACAGACTAAGTCGCCTACCTGAAACTGTGATGGGCGACGGTGCTTATTAGCCTGTTCTATCATTCTGTGCTGGGCCTTCCTGAGGTTCTCAACAGCACTTGCTATCTCTTTCTCATGTTGTATCGCGAACTCCCGGGTATCGGGCGGTAGCATGTGAATCTGATCCCGGTTCAGCCCTTCAAACGGTCTGCGCGGTCTAAAGGACTTGTCCAACTCATTGGGATTGCGACAGGTAGACAGATGCACGCTGTTGTTATAAGCACTGGCTGCCTTGGGCAACATCTCGTCCCAGTTGATCTGATCCGGTCTAATGTACATGCGCAGAACTTGCTGCAGGATTTTGTTCATCTGCTCAGTCTGACCGTTAGTTTCTGGATGGCGGCCAGACGACATCAGCAACTTTGACCCATAGACTCTCATGAGTTCCTGCCAGTTCTGGCTAGTGAAGCGGCTATCTCTATCGCTAACTATAGACAACGGGACTCCATGTTCATTGACCCAAAAATCAAAGAACTTCTGAATAACTAATTCGGTACGTGCCTCTGTAGGCAAAGGAACAAAAACTGCATACTTGCTAAATCGGTCAACTATGACCATGACGTGGCGCTTACCATGTCTACTCTTGACTTGGGTATCCATGAAGTCTATGGACACTGAGTCTCCCGGCTGATCAGGAATAGGCAAGGGTCTGAGAAGACCTAGAGGGGCATGCGTAGTGGTCTTGTTCCTCTGGCAAACTTTGCAACTGCGGACATACTCTATGCAGTCATTCTTCATTCCTGGCCAGGTATACGCACGCATTAGATTGGCTAGAGTCTTTTGCCAACCGAAATGTCCCTCTGTATCGTGGCATTCCCCTTGGGTCAAACTGCAAATCTTCCTCCCTGTTGGGAATGCATAGACGGTCGAATACGTTAGTCTTCTCAAACAGCAACCCGTCTGTAGTGCGGTAATCTGGTTCGGTCTCTCGGGCCTCTCTAACTCTCTTTAGGAGGTCGCTATAGATAGGGTCCTGCGCATACGCTTGCCTCACTTTCTCCTGCAGGTCTCTCCCTATATCCAGATAGTGTACAATGGCTCCAAAGTAGTATGATCTCCTACTTAGAGCATCCGCAACTACGTTGAACTTGCCCTTTACTGGCTTGAGCTCAAAGTCATACTGGTCTATCTCCGCGGACCACCTAGTCAACTTAGGTGTCATCTTGGCCTGGGTCTTTAACCATCTAAGCGTCTCATGGTCAGAATACACTTTGAAGTGCCTCCCAAGCAGGTAATGTTTCCAGTGCTCTAAGGCCTGCCTGAGAGCATAGAGTTGTCTCTCGTATGTCGAGGTGGCTACCTTCTCTGAGGGCATCCTCGCTGACATGAACTCTACGGGTCTATAGCCATTGTCGTCGTCCTGCTGTAACACGGCGCCTATCCCATACTGACTCACGTCCGTGGTGACAACAAACGGCAAAGACGAATCTGCTACTTTGAGGATAGGGTACTCTATTAACGCGTGCTTTAACTTCTTGAGCGCAGACGTACAATCTCTATCCCATTGCCAGATTGCCTCCTTCTTAAGCGACCTGCGCAAGGGAGCGGCGATAGTAGAAAAGTTCCTCACGAACTTTCTATAGTAGTTAGCTAGGCCTAAGAACGACCGCAACTCTGTCAATGTGCGGAGCGTTGGCCAGTCTCTAATTGTCGCTATCTTGTTGTCCTCAGGCTTGATGCCATCCCCGTCTAATACGTGGCCCAAGTACAAAACTTGTGTCTTGGCCCACTCGCACTTCTTCGCGTTGATCTTGAAGTTTGACTCTCTCAACTTCTCCAAGACCTGCCTCAGATGACCCTGATGCTCCTGGAGGGTCTTACTGAAAACTAAGATGTCATCTAAATAAACTACGACCAACCTATCCAACCAGGGTCTAACAGATCATTCATACAATGCTGAAACGTGGCTGGCGCATTGGTTAGTCCAAAGGGCATCACTATGAACTCATAATGCCCATATCTAGTCCGGAATGCAGTCTTGTACTAGTCATCAGGATGGACCTCTATCTGATGATATCCGGACTTCAAATCTATCTTAGAGAAATACTTACAACCCTGCACCCAATCTAGAAGATCGTCTATCCTAGGCAGGGGTTCAGCATTCTTCACAGTAATCGCATTCAAACCCCTATAGTCTACACACATACGACGCTCTCCTTCCTTCTTGGGGACAAACAGGATTGGTGCTCCAAAAGGAGACGAACTAGGCCTGATCCAACCTTTCGCTAGGAGCCTCCAATTGCTTAGGTAGCTCCTCTAACTCACTAGGGGACATCCTGTAGACTGCTCCCTTAGGAGTTCTACTACCAGGCTCTATCTCTATCCTGTGTTGGATGGGTGGCACTCCTGTTGGCGACTCAGTCAAATCTTTGAACTCCTCCAACAGCTTGGCAATGGTTGGATCTGTGGAAGTCACCTCTTCCTTAGCCTCAGTGATAGGTCTTAACATACACTACGAAAACCTGATCCTCTAACTGCTCCTTCACTAGTCGCGCGAATGTGGGAGCACTGAGAGAGCAATGTGCCAGAGTGTTATCTACACCTGACACATGAAACAAGCGGGCAGTCTTAACCTCGCTTGTCGGACTAGGGAGCCTACACTCATGCTCTCTCAAGTGGAGTGTGGCCCTTGCTGCCTCTCCCCAATCCATTCCTAACACCATGTCAAAAGGAAGGTCATCCTGTACGAGGAGAGTCAGGGAATGGAGAACTTTCTCCACCTTCCCATCCTTCTCGAGGCGAAAGTACGCCTAGACTCCCTCTACGTAGTCCTCAACTCGCATTGTGCGGTTGTCTGTGAGGACACTGACTATGGGGTCTGTTAACTTTTGGACTTTTAATCCTAACTTCAACTTCTTGAGCGCCCTGCGGCTAATATAGCTATGGGTAGCCCCTGAATCTATAAGGGCCCCTACTGTGCTTCTAAACACTTCTACATCTACCAAGATTAGTTGTCCCTTACTCTCCTTTCTCATTTTGGCCCAGGCTGGCATCCTCTCCTTCAACTCTTCTGCCACACCTGTGAGGGGCGTGCCTAGAGAGACGCTAACACAAGCAGTCTCTTGACAACTAGTTAGGCACGGGCCTGCAACCTCTGCCATAGGCTCATGTGGTTTGGGAGTTTCCTTTGTGCGCGCGCTCGCTTCCCCACATGGCCTTGAAGTAGGGGCAGTTGCGACCCCTACTGGCGGCTGCCTTCTGACTGTTGAGCAGCCCATCGGGCTTGTCTGTACTGTGGACAAAATTTAATTACGTGGGCCGGGTCACCACAAAACACGCACTGACCCAAGTTCACGCGTTCCTGCCATACGCGCTGGTCCAATCCCAAATCTTCTCAGGGCCTGCCCTGTGGCAAGCCTGGGTGCCATCCTCCTTGAGGTGGCCTTCCACCTCGTCGCTATGGGGACCGACAAGAACCCTGGTGATTTGGTGGGGGACCTTGACCCCTACCTCCCACTTGGCGGTTCCCTTGTCCGCCAACCCCCTGTGCGCCCGGTCCTCGGCCTCCTCCCACGCTACTGTCCTCCTCCTCAAGGCCCCATTCGATCTGACTATATGGGACCTCATCTGTACCACCTTCCTAGGTATGGATCATATGATCCTTGGCCCTCACTTGGCCTGAGATGGTTCCGCCTTTCCACTTCTTCCCCTTGTCCAGGTCCTTATGCTAGAAAGTGGATACTGGCATGGACTTGGCCTCGAACAACACCACCTCTCTACTGAGCGCATCGTACGTCATGGTGGGCTGTTGGGACTTGTCAAAGAAGTGCCCACGCAGGGGCTCTAACATTGTACGATAAAATAGCTGGACCAACTGGGACTCAGTCACCCCATGGTCCGGGATGGCCACCAGGTCGTCCATTACTGCCTTGAGTGCCTCGACACTCCTCCACTGTTGTGAGTGGATGGTTTGTAGTTTGTCAGAGGCTCTAACGCCTCTGCGAAGATCAGCGAATCGCTCCCTCAGGAGCTTGAAGAATTGAGGGAGGGGGGTAACCTTGGAATAGGCGACCATGTTGCTTTCACAACCGGCCGCGCGCGCGAGAGACCTAGCAAAACTAGCCGCTTCGTCCTTGAGGGCCTGGAAGGCTACCAGGACCTGATCGTCCTGTACGATGTGCTGTAAGTAAACGTAACTGTTTACGCTAGCCTCCCGGTTATCGAAGTTCTCGTCAGATTTCCCACCATAAGCATCGGGGAACTTAAGTTTGACTGGTTCTTTGCGAGGTCTGGCCTCGCCCTCGGCAGCGGCTACTACTTCGGCGCCCTCAATGGCACCCTCACAGAACTTCCCCACGTTGTCTCTCAACCACCTGACTTCCCCTCCAACGTGGGTAACCATCTCGCGCGCAAAATCCCGAAAATCGGACCGCATGGCCTTCACGGCTACCTCTTGAGCTCTATTGGCTTGGCATTCCTCCATCCAAGCTGCGCTCAACACCTCCAGGTACGCCAACACCTTATCCCATTTGGTCGAGGTGTCTGTCTGAGCCTCCACTTCCTGCCTACTATCCTTCACCTTTGCCACCTCTGCGGTCAACCTATTAACTTCATCCCTCCTCTTTTTTTCCCTCTTCATTCTCAATTTCCTCTCCAACTTTTTCTCCTCCTCCCTTTCTTGTCTTTCCAGGGGGGTCCTCCATTGCAGCTAGCTCCTGAGCTAACGCATCCCTCTCGTCTTGGGGCACATAGAACTCTGCCTCCTCAGGAATTATTTAACGTCGCAAACAGGACGACGCGATCAGCGAGTCTTTCAACACTTAGATGGCCTGTTGCGCAGCCCACAGTGAATTCAAACTCGTCTTCCTGTCACTTTGTCATGCCTGCAAACAGCGGTACAGCAACTGGCGACATGCGCCCACACAGTACTCAAGATATCGTAACCAGATATGAGTTCTCTTCAACTGGCTATGGCGA